CTGCAGTTTTCAATAGAGAGTTAAAAAAAGAGGCACCTGGGTGGCTCACTCGGTTAAGCATCTGTCTTCGGTTCAAGTCATGACCCGTGTCCTGGGTTCGAGCTCTGCATCAAGCTCTCTGCTCAGTGGGGAGCCTGCTCCTCCTCCCTCTCCCTCTGCCTGCTACTCCCCCTGCTTCTGCTCTCTCTCTCCCTCTTTCTGTCAAATAAACAAATAAAATCTTAAAAAAAAAAGTTTAAAAAAATATATAAGCATGGCTCTCTTAAGTTTTGCCCTTTTTTCTCATTCTTGGTTCTTCTTCTAGCCCCTTGAAACCAAGGCCTCTGATCCCATGCAACAGAAAAATAAAAGCTCTCTCTCCTCTGAAATGGAGTCCTCTGCTGGATGTAAAGAGAATTTTTTTTTTAGCCCTTTTATGAAATATCTTCAATCTTAAAAGTCCCAATTCTCAATCTTCGTCATTACTTTTCCTTTTCTATTTATTTTGCTAACTGATGGTAAGGTAAAATCCTAATAAACATTAAGATATAAACACACATTTCAAAACTAAATTTGCTCCAATGACCTACAGAAAATAAATGTCATTATTCGACTGAAATTCCTCTTTTTGAAGGGGATTTCTGATCCTAGGAATGCTATCAACTATCAGAGAACAAATCCTTCCCTAGAAGATTAACATTAATTAACAGTGTGAATTAATAAAATTTGTGAGCTAGTCCACTCGGTATCTCAATTCATTCAAAAATGATTTCCATTCTTCATTTTCTTAAAAATTACATTCCTTTTATAATCAGAAAAAAATGTGATAAATATTAAAATTACAAACATTTTTTTAAAAAGATTTTATTTACTCATTTGAGACAGACAGAGAGAGAGAGAGTGAGTAGGGGGAGAGACAGAGGGAGAGGGAAAAGCAGGCTGAGTCAGGAGCCCGATGTGGGGCTCGATCCCAGGACCCTGGGATCATAACCTAAGCCGAAGGCAGACGCTTAACCATCTGAGCCACCCAGGTGCCCCTAAAATTACAAACATTTTTGACATAAATACATCAAATGTTTTAACTGGGAGTTGAGCGTGACTTCAAAAGAATACTGCAGAATTGGGGGTCTTTTAAAAGATGGGCAACATCTACTGTTTATTTTTTTTTTAAGATTTTATTTATTTGACACAGAGTGCACAAGTAGGCAGAGCAGCAGGCAGAGGGAGAGGGAGAAGCAGGCTGCCCTCTGAGCAGGGAGCTGAATGCAGGGCTTGATCCCAGAACCCTGAGATCACGACCCGAGCCCAAGGCAGTCGCTCAACCAACTGAGCCACTCAGGCGCCCCAACCTACTGTTTATAATTTACACTAAGACCTAAATATCCAACTCTGATACAAAACACCACTGGTCACATCTGATGCAACTGTTTAACTGCTCCCCACCGATTCTCTCTACTGGTTTCCACTTCCGTGCCTTTTCTTTTTTCCATGCCCCAGATAATGCTAATCCAGCATGCAGCATTTTCTCCTCCTTGATGTGTCTTATTCCTCATTTTTAATTTGGATTGTTTTGAATGTTCTAATCACCATTCATTACATGTTACAGAGGCACAGCCCCTGGATGTTACTTACTGACACCTTAGTCTGGTTCATAAGTGTTATCTATTCTCCAACAGGCAGAATCAAGTTGTGAGCAAGGATTTCTCACATATGACACCTCTAAAAGACATCCAGAAAATAGCAAGTATACTGTGTATCCCAACTTTCATCCTTTTCCTTAAACAAAGCCCCAAAACTATGCTGGTAAATTATTTTACTGAACACTATAGGTATCAATTCCTAAGTTATTAATCCCTAATTAGCACTACTTAAATCAATTCTTAAATAATTACAGAGAAAAATCTTTTTCAGAATCTTTAAGCAATTTGCTTTCCTTTTTATTTTTACTAGCAACATTCATGCTAGAAGTCTACAAAACCAACAGTAAGTATTCTGAGCACAGAAAAATAAAAATCTCAGAAAATGAAGAATACGATGACTATTCCAGACATTCTAAAAGCAAAAATTTAGGGAAAAAACCTTTTTCAGCTTTGTGATCCCCCCAAAAATCCATTCAAGAGACAGTGGCAAAACAAGCCAATATATGAGATTTTAGGATAATCCATTTTCCCCATTCCAAGAGGAAAAAGAGTGTGTTTCCTTGTTTGTCAAAGTCAACAATATGTGAACTGCTGGATAGCAAGATTATGCACATTAATAATTGTATACACTTGACACAACTTAATATGCAGAAAGGTCCAAAAGATTTTACTGATGTGAACCAGTCTAGCTCTTTTTAGATTTCAATACTGGAAAATATAAGCCACCAGGGTAATAAACAATCAGGCTGCTTAAAGAGGATGTTAAGGGCTGATCCTAACAGAAATATTCAAAAAAGGGGCGCCTGGGTGGCTCAGTCCTTAAGCATCTGCCTTCGGCTCAGGTCATGATCCCAGGGTCCTGGGATCGAGCCCCGCATCGGGCTCCCTGCTCCACAGGGAGGCCTGCTTCTCCCTCTCCCACTCGCCCTGCTTGTGTTCCCTCTCTCGCTGTGTCTCTCTCTGTCAAATAAATTTTAAAAAATCTTAAAAAAAAAAAATATTCAAAAGGAGTAAGCATTAAAAAAAAAATAGTTATCAGTTTGGCTCAATGATGGGAACTAATAACCTGTGAAAAGAACATATAGGATGGAACAATAACCTACTTCAGTTTGAATACAGTATTTAATTCACAAAATTCAAGTAAAAATTACTGATGCACCCATTACTTTAAAAATAAATTACAAAACACAATAAAGTCTTTACGAGCAACATTACTTAGGATAAAAAGATTATATAATCTTCTTTACTTAAAAAAGTACTTAAAAAAACATGATGGGGGCGCCTGGGTGGTTCAGTCGGTTGAGCATCAGCCTTCTGCTCAGGTCATGATTTCAGGATCCTGGGATCGAGCCCTACCAAGATAGAGTTCCTATACACAACAATCTCAAAGTGGATGAGAAAACCCTAACACAATAGGATAGTCTAATAAAGTATTTATAAAGTGCTATAGTAGCACCAAAAAGAAAAAAAAAAAAAAACCCACCAAGAATTCTGCTCCAGGTTATCAGAGACGACTTATTAAGTGAAACAGAGATGCACCATAAAGGACTACAGTTCTTTAGAAAAATATCATGAGGGGGAAGCCCGGGTGGCTCAGTCCTTTAAGCGTCTGCCTTCGGCTCAGGTCATGATCCCAGAGTCCTGGGATCAAGCCCCCCATCGGGCTCCCTGCTCCTCGAAAAGCCTTGATTCTCCCTCTCCCACTCCCCATGCTTGTGTTCCCTCTCTCGCTGTGTCTCTCTGTCAAAAAAACAAATAAAATCTTAAAAAAAAAAAAAAGAAAAGAAAAATATCATGAGGGAGTAAGAAACTATGTAAATATTACAGTGTACTTCCACTGAACACTTATCATCTTCTATCTTATATTCACAATGATGGACAGTGTCTTGTACACAGCGCCCTGATATTAACTGAATACTCCTAGGCTTTCTTTACAGCATCAGATAATTCATATTGACAGCATGATTCCAAATAAAATAGCAAATTTGGCCAGTGAATTTCAATATTCTATAGACCAAAGCTTTTCACTGGGCTTCAAAAAAAGCAGGAAAACTGATCCAAACTTTGATTTTCCTATCCAAAAGTATCTTATGATAAAAGTAACAATAAACAAGTAATCAAAGCCACAGAATGCCCCAAATGAACAATCTACTCCTGAACAAACAAGAATAGCAACATCTTTACATTTTCTAACTATTCTGCAAAAGGTATGTCTGAGTTAGTCTAATGACAGAAGAGTAAGTGCCTAAAAAAACCTATAGGGTTAAAACAGTGTTTAAATCTAAATACCTGCCAAGAATAAGAAGAATATTAAAGTCATTACCAATTAATTAGCATGTTTCAGAAGTTGCAGAAAGCTGGACTTCAGTTCTAGTGGATAACACAATTATTTGATGTCATTCACATTCTGGTCCCAATCAATGTTTCCAGATTCGTCTACATTTTCCCTCCTTGCAGTGCCATAGTTCACTACTCAAACACACTTTTCACGACTCCCTGCCTCTTACAAGATGTTCTCTCAGGTTCAAATGTGCTCCCCTAATTTAAAACGGACTGATCCTTTTAGGCAGGGACACGTCATCTCCTCTATGAAATAGTCCTAAGCATAAATTAATCACTCCGTTACCCAGGATCCCAACATATTGCTTGTATTTCTATTTAAGCACTAATTTGCCTCATAAAAGAATGAAAAACGTATACACATCTGTTTTCCCATTAGCCTGTAAAACTTTTGACGGCCTTACTCTTTGTTACTTCACAGACTCATACTGAGCCAGGCACTTGGAAACGACGAGTGAAATAAAAGTGACTCTTGGAAGCCTCGCGTTTGATGAACACTTCAGATTCCACGTCAGAAATCAAGGAATGCACCTCCAAATTCCCATGCTTCATCTTTTCTGAAGTGACCCTATTTCCTACCATTTCTGGGTACTGGATACTCCCTAAAAGACTCCGGCCTATTCTCAACACTTCCCTAATTTTGTATTCTCCGTATTCCATAAAACGATCAAGTACCTCGAAAGCTTTGGCCATTAATAAAAATCATGTACCTTTCCTTCTTCCACCAATAATCAGTCTCCAAAGGAAACAAACCAATATATTACAACTGATCAAGGGAAGAAAAACCACTAGACTTTATTCCCAAATCACTTCGTATAAAAAACAACAAAACGAAGTATTTTAGATGCCTGAAGACACATAAATTAGCCAAGATTAAGAGGAATGGGCCTCGGTTAGGCTAAACTCGATCTGGGGCTGCCTGAAAAGCGGCTGCCGTATTTCAGTGCTTTCCTGACTCTGCTATGCACAAACTGTGCGGACAACAGTTCCGAGAGGCGAGTGAGACTTTTGGCTTCCACGCCCGTTTCCCCGATCCCCTACCCTGGACTCCTCGTTGGCGAGCCGTTTGAACGAGGCCTTCTGGTCAGAAAAGAGAAGCAACTCTGAAGGAACAAGACCCAAACACGGAACAAAGCGCCTGCCAGCGATGTATGAGTAGGACGCCATTACGTGGGGCAGTGGCCTGCGCCGCTAGCGCGGAGAAGACGACCGGGACCCCTAAGCGCGGGCGCAGCACCCCACAAAAGAAACCACAGACCGACGCAAAAACCTAGGAAAACAGAGTCTTGGCAGGCTAGGCAGCAGAGAAGACACATAACCATAGGAAGAGGGCTTACCTTCGTGAGTCTTCGCGATCTTCGCCATTTTGTCCACTCGAACACACAGACGGAACTGGCGCTCCCAAGAACTTCCGCTCGCCGCCGCTGCCACGGAGAAAAATAGCTGGGGAATGCTCTCTGCGCATGCGCCAAGCGGGAGCGCGCTCCGTCGGGTGACACGTGACAGAGGAGCCACCTAGATGGAACAGAGATGCATTGTGGGGGAGGGGGAGGAGCCAGGACTAGGCCCGGAGGCGGTTTTCCTGGTGGTTCGGGAAAAAGCCTAGGCAAATCTTGGTGCTTTTAAAGTGAGTAATTTTGCCCTGGAGGAAAGTGGATTGTGCGAGGACAGTTAATAGTTACTGTAAGAAACACTACGGGTTTCAGGGCTGGAGGAAACCTCAGACCGTCAATTCCATTTTACCAAATCGACCGGAAGGTGTCTTGGTGCCCGACGAAAGCTTTCCTTAGCATCTGTCTCAGCTGTTCCAGTGGTTAGTTGTGGAAACAGTCATGTAACAGTAACATCCTTCGCACAGAAATTCAAGGTCATTTTTCTTTCTTTTTAATAATTACCATTTGGGTAGGAGTTTTGTTTACAACGTTATTTCCAAACACTGTTGCACCTCACAAATAACCAGTAAAGTGGACAAGTTGTTGCTAATCCCATTTAAGAAATGAGAGAAAAATTAGGGCGGGGATATATATATATATATTATAAAATTTAATATAAGTTATTAAACAGGAGGAGCTTTGCCACCCTTTTAAAGCCTTTTAACTTTGTAGGTTCTTAGAAAACCACTGATGGTCAGCATTAACAATGATGAAATGCCTCTCTTAATCCTAATGTCATTCTTAAATCAGGAATTTGTAAAAGGTCCGAATATGGCTGTCTTTTTTTTCTATGCATCAATTAACACTAGCGTAATTTTGAATTGTCACACTGGCCTTGGACTTTAGAAATGAAAAAGAACATAACTTAGAAGGGAAGTTGGTACAGGAAGCAGCCTAGGAAAACAGATTAAACAGGATTAAGGTTAGAGCTATCACAAAGAAAACAGTTCATCTGGCTCTGTGATAGAGTCACAACACAAATACTTAGCAACTTCAGTAACAAAAATGGAATTTTTATTAGCATCAATGAAAAAAATCAATTTGATGGAATAAAATTTTCAATTTTTAATTTAATTGTTTTAATTTAGGTTAAACAATAGTTGGGGGAGGAAGGGGATGAGAAGGAAGAACATGTAGATTATTATACAAATTATTGGTAAACTCTAGTTCTTGGATTAGCAGAGGGCCCACAGATATTCCTTACATGGTTTATAACCTACACATAGATTACATATATTCTTTTATATATACAAAATAGCATATTTTAAAATAATGAAAGGAAAAAAGGATGAATGGGAAATAAGGAATTACAGAAGGATGTTATTATCCACCAATAATCAACAATATAAAAAAATCCATCCATGGGGTGCCTGGGTGGCTCAGTCAGTTAAGCATCTGCCTTCGGCTCAGATCATGGTCCCAGGGTCCTGGGATCGAGCCCACATCGGGCTCCGTGCTCAGCAGGGAGCCTGCTCCTCCCTCTCCCTCTGCCTGCCTGTCTGCCTACTTGTGATCTCTCTCTGTCAAATAAATAAATAAAATCTTTAAAAAAAAAAAAATCCACCCATGTTGACAAAAAGAATCACAAGGACACTGCATTTCTTGGCTCTATTTAAAAAAAAAAAAAGATAAATTTGTATATACAAGGCAATCACTGTCCTGTAAAAATATATGCAAAGGAAATTCACTAAAGTGTTAATAGTGGATGTTTATGAATGATGAAATTATTAACTTTTAAAAATAATTTTTAGTATTTTCCTGATACTTTGCTATGAACACATATTTTTATAAACACACAAAAAACGAATGTATTAAAGATGGAATGCCTGGTTGGCTCAGTTGGAAGGGTATGCAACTCTTAATCTCAGGGTCATAAGTTTGAGCCCCACATTGGGTGTAGAGATTTCTAAAAATAAACTAAAAAAAAAAAAGGAAATGAAATGAAAAGCATGTGCAAAGCATGTCCTTTGTCTTTCTCTAGGTTACTAGTTATTAAGTTAACTTTTGTAGGGCAAAGGCATATATGGGATAGTGAGATATGAAAAAATTTGCCTAAGATCAATGGAGATTTCCTTCTTTTAATCTTCTAAAGACTAGTTTGTCTTTAATAAAACAATGACTTGGACTTTCAGACAATAAGTAACAAGCGTTTTTCAATAAGTACCTTTTACTTTCCACTTTCAATATTAATAAATAATATTCAGATACCACTTAAAATACATTTCCTGCCCTTTTCTGGTGAAATTTTTTGTTTCAAAAATTAGAAAAGGTGATCTGATCTTTTTATAACCTAGACAATTGAGAGTGATATAACCCAATTAAAAGGAAAATTCCTTTCTTTTCTTTTCAAATAAGCTCTACACCCAATGTGGGGCTTGAACTCATGACCCTGAGATCAAGAGTCACATGCTCTACTGACTGAGCCATCCAAGCACCCCCATTCCTTTTCTTATCAGGGGTACTTGGAGGCTGGCTTTTCTGAGTCTCAAAAAAATATTGCAAAGTAGCAAGCATACATAATTTTTCTGGACAAAAAACAAAAAATAATAATTTTGCAGATTGTTAAATGCTAGCTGTAACTTGCTCAAATCACCTTTGGGGATGAAACTATAAAATAGGCCTTAAAGTTCTGTGCTATAGGAAAACCACTGACAGTTTTATCAAGCCCATCATTTCTTTTTTTTTTTTTAGATTTTATTTCTTTATTTCTTTATTTGAGAGGGAGAGAGAAAGCAAGAGCACAAGAGCAGAAGGAGGGAGAAGCAGACTCCCCACTGAGCAGGGAGCCCAATGCGGGGCTCCATCTCAAGATGCTGGGATCATGACTGGAGCCGAAGGCAGCCACTTAACCAACTGAGCCACCCAGGTGCCACAAGCCCATCTTTTCTGAGGTAAAAGAAGGACTGTTATGGATTAATGGCTCACAATCTTGATGTGTAATGTTTCCTAGAAGCCTCCTATATCAAAGGAATATCAGACTCTACCTACCCAAGGCCAAAAACCCAAAACTTTCTATCTCCCTTTCAGTTATGCCTTAAGTTCTAAAACTACAGAATCTTATTTCTGAAAATTTAATGCATTACTCAAATAAAAGATAACCTTGAGGCAATGTTCTAAATATGTCAGTCAGTGTGACTGTCATGCCTGACTTTCCCTTCTAGCTTCAACCTACCTGACCAAACTCTCTGCTCAGGGAAACAGCACTGGGTTGTTCTCCTGGAAGAGATAGGCACTTAGTCAGCTACCTAGAACCTGGTCTGGAATACAGGACATTTCTACCCATAGAAATAGAAGTTATTGGCTAAGCCAAGATTCCTTCTCTTGGAAATTTGAACTGGAAGTATGAAAGGAACTTGTCGGTTTCTACTGAAACAGAATCAAAGAAAAATGTCACTTTAATGACATAAGACTGAGGGATCACAAATTCCTGCTGCTCAAGTCCCCACAGCTACCCTAAATCCAGAACTATCTCCAGCCCTAACCTTCTAGTGACCCATTCTTTAAATTGTACTGCTTTTCAGGTGCCTGGGTGGCTCAGTCGGTTAAGCATCTGCCTTTGGCTCAGGTCATGATCCCCGGGTCCTGGGATCAAGTCCTGATTCGGGCTCCCTGCCTAGCAGGGAGTCTGCTTCTCCCTCTACCCTCCCCTCCTGCTCCTGCTTTCTCTCTCTCTCTCTCAAATAAATAAAATCTTCTAAAAAATAAATAAATAGTACTGCTTTTCTTGAACTAACTTGGGTAGATTTCTCTTCCAACTATTCCAGGCCTAACTAGAACAGAACAGCAGTATATTAACATCTTAGTGTGAATTCATTAACTAGCTTCTTTTTCTAGTTAAAAGTCAACTAAGAGCTCTCTCTGATTCATAATGGTGAGATATGGAGATTCAAAGCACATATAAATCAAGTCTGAGTAGGTGTCCCAGACAACTAAGGGATTGTGGCACAGAAAGAAGCATTAGGTGTCTGGAATGCTGTGATGTCTTCTAATGTGTCAACTTGACTAAGCTACAGTCCCTAGTTATTCAAACAAATACCAACCTAGGTATTTGTAGATGTGCTTTAAGTCCACAATAATTGACTTTAAGTAAAGGAGATTGTCCTAGGTAAGCTGCTGGGTAGATCTAATTCAATCAGTTGAAATACCTTAACATCAGAATTTAGGCTTCCCTGATGCAGAAGAAATTCTACCTGTGGATAGCAACTTCATCCTGTGCTGGAGAATTCCAACCTGCCCCTACTGATGGTCTGCCCTTTAGATTTTGGACTTTCTTAGCCAGTGTCCACAACCGCATAAACCAATTCCCTGCAATAAATCTCTTAATATGTATCTCCTGGTGGTCTGTTTCTTCAGTTAAAACCTGATTGATATAAGTGCCAAAGGCAGGGGCACCTGGGTGGCTCAGTTGGTTAAGCGTCTGCCTTTGGCTCAGGTCCCAGAGTCCTGGGATCGAGCCCCACATCGGGCACCCTGCAGAGTGCGGAGTCTGCTTCTCCCTCTCCCTCTGACCCTCCCCCTGCCCGTGCTCTCGCTCTATCTCTCTCAAATGAAGAAAAAATCTTAAAAAAAAAAATGCCAAAGGTAAATTTCACCATTCATTCATTCAAAAAATATTTATTGAGGACCTATTAATAAATATTTAATGAGGACCTATTGTATACCAGACATTATTTTTTAAGTTTAATTATGGAGCACATTGTATACACAAAGCGTATATACATTACAATTTCCCATGCAGCTGCTACCTGAGAGCATTATCAATCTTTTGTGTGCTGATTCCATTATGCCTTGCCTCAATTATAGCTCTATCAGTCATACTAGAAATATCCACTGTTCGGAATTTTGTGTTAATTATTCCCTCGTACTTCTTTATACTTTTACTACATATGTATGTAATCATCAAGTATGTTGTTTGATTTTGCTTGTTTTTTAAACATTTATGTAAACAGAATCATCCTAGTTATAATCTTCTATAACTTGTGATTAGTTATCACTTATTCTTTTTTTATTCCAGTATAATTAACGTACAGTGTTATATTAGTTTCAGCGCACTGATTCAACAATCTATACATTACTCAGTGCTCGTGACGATAAGTGTACTCTTAATCCCCTTCACCTATTTCACCTATCACCCACCCACCTCACCTCTGATAACCACCAGTTTGTTCTCCATATTTAAGAGTCTGGGGTTTTTTTGTTCATCTTTTTTTCTTTGTTCATTTGTTTCTTAAATTCCACACATGAATGAAATATGGCATTTGTCTTTTTCTGACTGACTTATTTCACTTAGCATTATACCCTCTAGATCCATTCATGTTGTTGCAAATGGCAATATTTCATTCTTTTTATGGCTGAGTAATATTCCATTGTATATATACAACACATCTTTATCCATTCATCTACTTTTTTAATCCATTCATCTATTGATGGACACTTGGGTTGCTTCCATATTTTGGCTATTGTAAATAATGCTGCAGTGAACATAGGGGTGCATATATTTTTTAGAATTAGTGTTTTTGTACTCTTTGGGTAAGTACCCAGTAGTAGAATTACCAAACATTATTTTAGATGCTGGGAATACAATGGTGAACAAGACACTGTCCTCGTGGAGTTTGGATTCTTTGAGGGAGAGAGATTAAGAAGTGTGTGTGTGTGTGTGTGTGTGTGTGTGTAATTTCAGGTACTATCAAATACTATGAAGAAAAAGCAGAATAAGGGGAGAGGGGGCAGGATGGAAGGATAATATGAACAGAAAAGGTGAGATCTCTGAGGGGATGACATTTGAACAGATACTTAAATGAAATAAGGGAATGAGGATTGGGGAGAAGAGTATTCCAGACATAGTAAGTGCAAATGTGCCAAGGTGGGAATGAGCTTAAGGTCTGTATGTGTCCAGAGTGACATAGGAGTGGCGTGAGACAAGATGGTACCACGGGTACCTGCAGTACCACTACATGGTCGAATAAATGAATGAATGAATGTTGAATGAAGATATCTTCCAAACTTTCCTGCTCTATACTGCCTCTGTTAGCTAATACAGGGGGAGCAGCCACATAATTTTTGCTAGTGGATTCTCCATGATAGATGTACATAAAAGCAGAAACATTGTCATTAATGATTCACCTTAGGCTAACTGTTGTCACTACCTGAATTAAGAAATTGGTAGGAGGTAGAGGAAGGTGGTATATAAGAATCAGAGAAATAGTAGGATTTACGAAGGAGGGTAAGGAATGTTGGGCAGACTAGGGTCCTTGGTCAATGACAGGTGCTCTGTTGTCAGCAGGTACCAGAGTCAACAAGTTGGCAATAACAGTGACAACAGCTACAGAACAAAGCCAGCAATTTTTGATGGCACCCAGAACCCAAAGAGACCTACTAAGCATAGTGCCTCCTTCTTAGTGATAGGAGATACAAGATGCATTAGTTTGTCCTTTACTTTGGAGGGGATGTCCAGGCATGCCCCAAGCCACTATTCCCCTAAAACAGTGGTTCTCAGCTGGAAATGATTTTGTCTCCTAGGGATACCTGGCAAAGTCTAGAGACATTTTTGGTTGTCACAACTGTATCCTCTGCCTAGAGGGTCCTCCTTCCTATTTCCACCCCCATTTCCTCTACCCTCTTTCACTTGGCCAACTTCTCCTCATCCTGTCAGACTGGCCCAGTGTCACTCCACCCAGGAATCTCACCCTAGGAGTGAGATTTAGATTGCATGCTTTGCCATGCTCCTGAAATACCACAGACCTCTAAGTAATAACTTTGTATTACCACTGTTTCTATGTGTCTGTCTCCCTAAACTGGACTGTAACGCCTAGAGCAACTTAAAGGGAGAAATTACTGGCATCTAGAGGTCAGGGATACTGCACAACATCCTATATTGCACAGCTCCCCAAAACTAGAAATTTTCTGGCACAGGTTGTCAATAGTGCCACAGTTGAGAAATCCTGCCCTAAAAATATCACGAACGGAGCAGACTCTTTATTCTCCTTGGGTTTATCTCCCACCTTCTGGAGTATATTTCCAAGGCCTCCAAATACCATTTCCTGGTCATCTAGTCTTATTAACAAGATTAACACAATGCATCAATATAGTGGACTAATATAATGTGCTGTATGTCCAGCTGTCCATATTGCTTAAGATTATATTATGATAGAGTTGGAGCACTGGGTGGCTCAGTCAAACATCTGCCTTCGGCTCAGGTCATGATCCTGGGGTCCTGGGATCAAGCCCCACACCAGGCTTCCTGCTCATCAGGGAGTCTGCTTCTCTCACTCCCTCTGCAGCTCCCCCTGTCTCGTGCTCTCTCTCTCTCTCTGTGTTACATAAATAAAATATTTTTTAAAAAAGACTATATTATGATAGAGTTATTTTGATAGACTATATTATAGGGGAGTTAACATAATCCAGGGGTAAAACTTAAAACATACACTGATGTCCAGCCCAGGAGAATGCACGCTGTTTTAAATCCTCTGTATTATTAGGGATGGAAAACAATTCTTTTTTTTTTTAAGATTTATTTATTTATTTATTTAAGAGAGAGTGAGTGTGGGGGAGGGGTAGAGGGAGGGAATCTTCAAGCACGCTCCCCACTGAGTGCAGAGCCTGAAGCAGGGCTCGATCCTACAACTCATGAGATCATGACCAGAGCCGAAACCAAGAGTCAGACACTCAACTGACTGAGCCATCCAGGTGCTCCAGAAAACAATTCTAACATCAGATCAATACTGGCCTACTATGTACTTGAGG